CTCAGCGCGCGTTCCCAGTCACCTCCCGGACCGTGTCGCGTTTGCACCTCCTGAGATGTGGTCTGCCAGGCCTGTTGGGGGCGCCCTGCTCTCAGCGCGCGTTCCCAGTCACCTCCCGGACCGTGTCGCGTTTGCACCTCCTGAGATGTGGTCTGCCAGGCCTGTTGGGGGCGCCCTGCTCTCAGCGCGCGTTCCCAGTCACCTCCCGGACCGTGTCGCGTTTGCACCTCCTGAGATGTGGTCTGCCAGGCCTGTTGGGGGCGCCCTGCTCTCAGCGCGCGTTCCCAGTCACCTCCCGGACCGTGTCGCGTTTGCACCTCCTGGATGCACAGCTGCCCCGCTAAGCACTTGGTGATTTAAGGAGACCTGGAAACACTGCAGGACCGTGGTCCTGAAGACCCAAAGCGGGCCGTGGCTCTGAACGGCTTTTCAGTTTATTGCAGCCACTATATATATATATATATATATATATTACACAATAAATTATTTTTTCTGAGCTCCAAGTTTAACACAACCGGGCTTTCTTTAGGTCTCGGCCAGTGGATCTGCGAAGCACATCAAGGCTTATCGTTGCAGGGTGTCCGCGACTCCGAGCGCCGTAATCCACGGCGGCCTGATGCATTTCGCAGACTACCCCGTGCTGGCACCTCGCGCTCATCGGGTTCTCATTCTCCCCGTGCCTCTTTCCGGAAAGTTCCCCCATGACGCGTGTGCTTTCTTTTCCCCGTGAAGGACACCATGGCCAAGCGCAACACAGTGATCGGCACGCCCTTCTGGATGGCTCCAGAGGTGATCCAGGAGATCGGGTACAATTGCGTGGCGGACATCTGGTCCCTGGGCATCACCTCCATAGAGATGGCGGAGGGCAAGCCTCCCTACGCGGACATCCACCCAATGAGGGTGAGTCTCCTGGTTTGCAGCCTTTCCCAGAACCCACTCATCCATGGTTGCCTCTCTTTCCTAAAAACAATTGCGAAATAGTGTTTTATGATCTTAAGCTTTCATACACGGTAGGTCGTCTGCTTTTCATCTGCGCTGAGTCACAGTTAATCGTGATGGAGATGAGAGTGAGTCACCTCAGCTTGCTTTCGAAATACCGCAAACGGGGAACGATTTTGGGGGGGAAAAGCTGCATCAGAGGGGTGACGTGAGGGGTGATAAACAAGTGTGATGGAAGGGTGTTGAAGCCCCACCCGCTTAATGCGGATCTCTGTGTGGCCCGGCTCAGTGTTTGTGGTACCGAACCGGCTGGTCTTTTGCCATGTTTATGACACTCTTATTAGGTGGTGAGTGTTGTTGGTTAATGTGAGCTTTTCCCAGCCTGTGTCTGGCTACTGGCCGATTTGCAAGTTAATTTGCCAGATCAACTTCGGAAAGACAGACATGGAAACGTAAACATACAACACTGATCTGATTCAGATCCCATCTCTCAGTGTTTGTAATTATGAAGGGGCTTCTTTAATATGACTGCTTAGTTTATATTTACTCAAAAATAGAATTGATTTTGTTTTTGGGTTTCAAAGGTCCTTTGGAAGCTTATGAACAATAATGTTCTCATCTTTTCTCACCCTTTCCCTTAATATCCTGCAACAGTGCTTCCAATTTTAAAGTATCTGTGTTGGAGGGTCTCGGGCCCGCAAATTGAATCTGGAATTATCACTGCTCTTCTGGTCTGTATTGTGGAAATAGGCACAGTTTCCCCAATCCTTCCCAGAACTCCCGAACGAATGGTCCCTGTTTGGGACACAGTGTGCAGACCGGGGGGAATCAGAGGGCCGCTGACTGTATGGGAAGGTTTCTGCCTGGTGTACACAGTGCTTCAGTGGCAGGACACAGTCTCCATGCCCTTTGTGCAGCCGAGTAGAAGCACCATCTGCAGCGCCTCCCCAGCAGTGGATCGCTGTGAATGGTGATCCCTCCCATCCGCTTTTGACTGCTTTAGTACAGATTCATTGTGATATTGGTGCTGTTTGTTAGTGTTCTGTCTTCAGCTTCTCCTCACGCTTCTTCTCCTTCACCATCTTCAGCTTCTCCTGCTTCACCTTTTGTTCCTCTTCGTGCCTCTTCTTCTTTGCCACCTTCCACTTCCCTAGCATCCCTTTCTTCCCCCAAAGAGGTAGCTCTTTCAATCCTCTGCTGTTCCTTGCAGCACGAGTATTTTAACAGAGCTGTACAAGGCCTTACTCCCCTGAAGTGTGTGTGTGTGTGTGTGTGTGTGTGGGGGGGGGGGGGGGGGGGGGGGTGGTGCCAGGGAACGGTAGATTAAATTAAAACAAGATCAGTTGCCCCACTTGTTACATGCTCAGCTGCTGTCCTGTTCTTGGCCGTAAATCTCTGTCTGTCTGCAGCCGGTCTTTATAAACAAGACGTCAACCAACGGCCTGTCATCGTGCACCGGAACGTTTCTGAAATGGGGGGGGGGTGGATTCTGAAGTATTCCACATTAAAGTGAATCAGCGGAAATTATATAACGTCGCAGTACTACAGTACTATGTTCATTAGGTCTAACCCTTCTGTTATCAATTAGCTGAAACTATTATTAATATTAATCTGTTAATATTAAAGCTTATAGCAGTGCAGATCTCACCAGAAAGTTGGTGCAAAGGGATGGTGTTTTAGAGGTGAAAAGGAAAAAAAGAATTGGAGGAAAACTGAATAGAATAACGACTTTAAAATAAAGATAAAAATAAAGATAAAATAAATCTTAAAAAATAAGATGACAGATGGTAAGACCTCAGTTTCTTAGAGATGTCTATTCGTGGTGAAAATAGTTTGCTGGAGGACTGGGGTGGGGGGAGCGGGTGGCTGCCGGGGATCAGCCTCCAGCATTAAAACTTTTCTCCATTTTGTCACAAGCCTGATGTGCAGCCCGACCCCCCGGGGGGCTGCCCAGCCTCTAAATTTAGACCGTTTGTTGCTCTTTCTGAGCATGTTACCCCTTGCTGATATAGCCGGGCCTGTTTTCTTAACCTTGGGTCATTGGCTGTGCGGGGGGACAGAGAGGCAAGGCCCCGATGGTTCTGTGGACCCCGGCCGATGACATACGTGGGCTGGACGAGCCCTTCAGGTCGAGACCCTCTTCATAACTCTCGCTACTTTACTGCCGTGTCAGTGCAGCACTTTCCTGATGCCCGTGACCTTCCTGTGACCGTGGGGGTATTTGTTGGTAGGAGTGACAGTCGGAGTTATTCCTGTTGAGTGGGTGTGGAGGCGAGACGGTGTTGGTCCCTGCCATGCTCAAGTAGAGGTAGCATACTGGTTGGGGAGGCGGCCTTGTCGTGAACTTGGATGGGGGCAGCCTCTGGGAGCCCCCTCGCTGTCAAGATCTTCATTCGCAGCCCCCGCACCTCCCCATCTCGCTGTCAGGTAGCTCCGTCGACCTGCCATGTGATAACCAGCGTCCGGTAGGTTCCACTCCGCACTAATTTGGTTAAAACAGGGGAGTGGGGGTGAATTTGATCCTGTGTTACCAAATGAGGCTTCAATTAGCTGGCAGTGTGGTGGCCTGTTGAAAACAGACCTACCAGGGCTGGAAATGCAGAACTTGCCCCGGCTGGTGGTCGGGTTCCCTGCTTTGATGTACTGCAGAGTCAGCAGTCAGGCTGGTGAAATGCTTTGTATAATAGTCTGTGATGGAGTGAAACGCTGCCTTGGGCATTAAGATCCTCCATTTTTCTGCCATTTAAAAAAAATATTCCTTTAATGTGTCACCCCAGTTCAGCATGCTGTTTATTATTGAGTACCGGTTAATTTTGCAATGATTTATTTATGAATATAGCTGTTCTCATGATTATTTTAGAAGTGACTATTAATTAAATCAGCATTTTGTTCTGAATGTGTATAGTGTTCATTCTGAAAACTACTTAAACCTCTTACTGCCAATCAGCTCTCTCAGTTTTGGAGGGCTAAGTGCTGATTGGCGGAATGTTGCAGCCTGTAATTTAGAAGCTTGCCGGACCTAACAGAGCTGCGTGCCACAGGCAGCCCAGGAATGAAACTCATTATTTTTGTTAAATGCATTTTCCAAATTATTGCCTCCCCCTCTCACTCCCCCTTCTACCAGTAGGAAGCCAATTTGTTTCGCGGCTTGGAACTTCGCAAATGGTAAATGGCTCAGGACTGAAACGGCCTGTTGGGTGGGGTGGGGGGGGCATCCTCGCTGCCATGGCCTCTTGGGAGAGCCTAAGAGTTTGTCTTGGTGCCGGATTGTGTTAGGGATCACCGGGAAGGACTTAATGCCCCCGTGTTCTTCTTCTTTCAGATGAGCGTCTCTGCTGAGAAGGTCTTCCCGCTAATGTTTAATGTGTGGCTTTGAAGAGCTTTCCAAGCTCTCTGCCTGCCTCCTCTTTAACGTTGCCAACGTCAAAGATGTAAAATTAAATCACGGGCCTCGTTTGCCGTCTCACCGCTTCCCGACCGCCGCTGAAAGCTGTCCGAGCGCTCGGGAGGTTCGCGTAGACTTTTATTGCGATCTTGATCTCCCTCTGACACTTTGAGGGCCGTTCCTGTTGGTTTTGGAACGGCGTCTTATTGCGCATCTTCCTGTGGAGGCAGAAGTCGACTGGAGAATGGAACACTGCTGTCTTAATGCCATATCGAGTAACACGCTTTTTTTTTTTTTATTGTGGTTTCCCATCATGCACTTGTCCCATTACGAACTGAGGCTCCAGCTGGAGATCCGTGTCACCCTGACATGAAGTTCTTAACTTCTACTCGCATGTACTGTGTTTCCAAACTTGTATCAATATCTGTAACTCCAAGTACTGTTTAATATTTGCGCTGCTTTACGGTAATTAAAAATCAGATTCCATTTTTACCAATGGGGGAAAGTTACGGTGTCACAGTCCTGTTGTAGTACTTCTAATGCTGGTGCTTAAACCAAGTACATGCCCTTCAACATGTTGTGGTGCAAAAGTTAAAAAAACTGTGGGCAGTGTTATGCTGCTCTGGGAAAGACAATAAAACATTACAGTAGCCATTTGCCGTGCGACTTCCGGACCGACGTTGGAGGTGAGCGTCCCCGAAACACGGTGGCTCATGTTTGGTTTTTATTCAATAACATTTGCATTTGATTTTAGGAGCCAGTCTTATAAAAGGCTGTGTAAAGACGAGCGGACGGCACGGCAGGGCGTCGTAAACGGCACGCCTCTTTACGGCTGCCTCTGAACGGTAGTTTATGACATGACAGCAGCGTTTACTTTGCGTTGTGTAAGAGGGCCCCTTTCATGGCGTTGGGGTCCCAGAGTCCCCATCAGGACCGTGTGGGATAAGGCTTCTGCTCTGCGTCCTTATCTCCTCCTCAGAACCTTCGGCCTTCACCCCTGCCACTGGTATCTTCTGCCTCCGATGACCGATTTTATGGTCCCAGTCTCCCTTGGTGCGAGATTCTTCCACACTGATCGTGTTCAAAGGTGCTCCTACTAAATGATAATGGTTTACGGTAGTTAATTGGTGATTAAACGACCAGATGGCCTAGTAACGGCTGGCTACCAGTGTTTTGACGCACAGTACTTAGAAACGGTGCTTTAGTTTCTGTCTGCATGCTTAAATCCCCCCCCCCCCCCCCCCCCCCCACACACACACAC